AAAAAAAAAAAAAAAAAAAAAAAAAAAAAAAAAAAAAAAAAAAAAAAAAAAAAAAAACTAACAACAAAATGTTTGGTAAAATAATATACACATTATACATATTTTAAGCCATCCAATTGACCTCACAAGTGTACAACTAGTGAAACCTCAGATAACAATGGCAATAAATGGCTCCAGGAGTCAGTGGATCAAGACCTGTACCAAATTCTTACATGGAGCAAGGATATTTACAAGGACACGCAAAGCTACAACTTGCCAAAAAAGTAAAACGGGAATAGACATAAAATTCGGGTAACACACATCAGTGTGCAAGACGTACCTTGAATTTTCATGGTAAGTATACTTAGATTGGTAAGAAATGAAGAGAAAAAATCCTTCCATAGTTTTACAGACATGTTAGTTTTCGTGATGAATAAGTGTAACAAATAAACTTTAAAAAGCAATTGAACCCATGCTCTCCACACCACGAAATAAAAAACGGTGCGATAGCCATTTTTTACCCAATCGACCAAAAGGTCCGAAAATGGCACGCAGAGGAGTATACTTAATCAAGCCTCGGCAATTGTCCGTACATCGCAACCATGGGACCACCGGCACATAATCCAAGTACACATAAGCACAGCGGACCTTTGGTCTATCAGTCCATCTATTTATCTGTGTACATAAGTACGTGAACGCAATGCTCGCATTATATATATACACGCTACTCTTCGTGTAATGGCTCGTGCTAAATGCATGGTGTGCCTATATATATATACATACGTACATAATGCGTGTATCCCATCGTCGCGTACGGGACGCACATGGGCAAAGCACCCCCCTCCTCCTTGTTCTCATCGCTAGCGGCACGCGACCCCCAACCATCATCGGTACCCATACATACACGTACGGAAATAGTTTAACTGGGCACTGCCGGTGACATATCCGCGCGCCGGAGGACGAGTGTTTCTGATTGCTCCCCCCCCCCTCCCCCACATTCATCCATTCTGGTGATGGCTATAGTTTTATTATATGTGTGTGTGTGCACCCTGCAAGACAGACTTGTATATGTGTACAGGGGTGTACCTTATAAGTAGGTATAAGTATAGGTGAGGAGACGCTTTTTCCTGACGCTCTATATATCTGTCGTATGGAATCGATATTGGAGAAAGCGGTTTTCGCTTCTGATCTTTTTTTTTTTTTTTTTTTCTTTGGCTCTGCGATAAGGGTATGTTTCGGGTGACTTTTCTGCTTCTGCATGTATATGTTGGGGGGGTACACAGGCGATCGGTAGGTACGCGTTGCTACAAAAACGATGAGCGCTCGAAGGTTCAGAATTTTTTTTTTTGTTTTTTCAATTTCCATAACATTCTGAATGTAACAGGTATTCGCGGCGAGGACAATTAACGATTTTGCTAATGTTAATGAAAAGTGGTAAATTGCACAGTCGTCCGAGGGATCAAGAAACTCCAGGACCATTTAACCAAATATATTATATAATGCCAGAGTTACGTTGCGTCTATCATGACGGATCCAGCCCTCTCGTTTTCTAATTTATATATGATCACTTCAACGTAGCGAGCTGACTTTTTTTTTTCCAGTGCATGCGCTGAAAGTCAAATTCAACGGGGACAAAATGTTTGATCCGATTGTTCGAGCCGTCGTTTCCCTTCCTAACAGTAACAAGAATACAATATCGAAGGAAAAAAAAACCCGTTCCCATTGAAGTCGCGAAAAAGCAGTCCACCGTTTATCCATCGTCAACATCCTTTGCACAAAGGAGCCCATTCTTCGGTAGGGTATAATACATCGCACGAGGGGCCCACGTAACGTTTACATATATAAACGCACAATTAAAAACTAACAGCACCGCAATTATTCATCTCATTACTTCCACTCGGGACATCGCATGTATCAGGCATCCTTTTTTCCTCTCTCTCTCTCTCTCCCTCCACGTCCCCGTTCTTCTCTTAGCCGCTCATTACGTATATATATATACATAAACACTAGTATATAGAAAAAAAAAAAAAAAAAAAATGCATTGTAAAAAACAATCTAGCCAAAACAAGAACAAAAAATCTCCCTCGCGCCTCATGCCGGTACAGCTCGATTTCAACGCAGTACAAGAAACAATACCAAAAGTCGTTGGATGTAAAGCCAACCGCACGCGATTAAATTGGCTCGGACTTTCTACGGCGAGCCTTGATCGAATCACCCGTAGGCAAACGCACACCCCTTCCTACAGCCACCCACCAGGTTAACATCCGTAGGTGGTTTTCGAAAAATACCCGCGCCAATTTAACCGTTGGCTGTATATATATACACGCACTGGTTTTGTAGGAGAAATTTTAATAGCGTTGCTCTCTTTTTTTTCCAACAGGGCTATCCGGCGTTGAAGTTTGACTGACAGCCTCCAGAGATGCAAACTAGAAGGATTAATTTGCTCGTGAAGGGAAGTGAAGAAAAAAAAAAAAAAAAGCGCGCGTTTGCAACTGCGGTTTGCGTCAGTCGTTCTTTCTAGAACAATGGCTGTTACACCGGTGTGGTGGTTCGACAATTTTTGAATTTCTTTCGGTAAATACAGAGTCCAAAGTCAAACGAACGTACCTTCTTGACAAATACCGTATGATAAAGATTAGCAGTTTCCACTATGGCCAAAAAAGGACATTGTGGCGTTATTAAACATAGCGTTTGTCAAGAAGATAGTTCTGTCACGTAGACACATGTTCACCAGACTTTTTTAGTTGTTATCGAGACTTTCTAATTCTGTGAAATAACAAGACAAATACAGAATATTTAAATGCGGTATGGAATAAGGCCCTTAAAGTACCGAAAATTAAAAAAAAAAAAAAAAAAACTAACAACAAAATGTTTGGTAAAATAATATACACATTATACATATTTTAAGCCATCCAATTGACCTCACAAGTGTACAACTAGTGAAACCTCAGATAACAATGGCAATAAATGGCTCCAGGAGTCAGTGGATCAAGACCTGTACCAAATTCTTACATGGAGCAAGGATATTTACAAGGACACGCAAAGCTACAACTTGCCAAAAAAGTAAAACGGGAATAGACATAAAATTCGGGTAACACACATCAGTGTGCAAGACGTACCTTGAATTTTCATGGTAAGTATACTTAGATTGGTAAGAAATGAAGAGAAAAAATCCTTCCATAGTTTTACAGACATGTTAGTTTTCGTGATGAATAAGTGTAACAAATAAACTTTAAAAAGCAATTGAACCCATGCTCTCCACACCACGAAATAAAAAACGGTGCGATAGCCATTTTTTACCCAATCGACCAAAAGGTCCGAAAATGGCACGCAGAGGAGTATACTTAATCAAGCCTCGGCAATTGTCCGTACATCGCAACCATGGGACCACCGGCACATAATCCAAGTACACATAAGCACAGCGGACCTTTGGTCTATCAGTCCATCTATTTATCTGTGTACATAAGTACGTGAACGCAATGCTCGCATTATATATATACACGCTACTCTTCGTGTAATGGCTCGTGCTAAATGCATGGTGTGCCTATATATATATACATACGTACATAATGCGTGTATCCCATCGTCGCGTACGGGACGCACATGGGCAAAGCACCCCCCTCCTCCTTGTTCTCATCGCTAGCGGCACGCGACCCCCAACCATCATCGGTACCCATACATACACGTACGGAAATAGTTTAACTGGGCACTGCCGGTGACATATCCGCGCGCCGGAGGACGAGTGTTTCTGATTGCTCCCCCCCCCCTCCCCCACATTCATCCATTCTGGTGATGGCTATAGTTTTATTATATGTGTGTGTGTGCACCCTGCAAGACAGACTTGTATATGTGTACAGGGGTGTACCTTATAAGTAGGTATAAGTATAGGTGAGGAGACGCTTTTTCCTGACGCTCTATATATCTGTCGTATGGAATCGATATTGGAGAAAGCGGTTTTCGCTTCTGATCTTTTTTTTTTTTTTTTTTTTTTT